GGGGGGGGGGGGCATACTCTTATGTTTTGCATGCCTCCGGCGGTTAGACCATCAACCACGCGTCCTCGAGAGGACGGCGCATTGTTCCCACAGGACCGATCGCCGATGGCTAATCGTTCCTTCCTACTTTGCCAAAGGTGGCTCAAACATGCCTTCCCTAGTGTATCTATCCTACCGATATCACTTCCCAACTGTTCAACCGGGGGAGGGGTGGCAAGACAAGGGCTCGGCACACTCATTGGGTTGCGAGAGCAACAAATGCCGGAGGAGAATTTGGGATCGATTCATCGTCGACTGAACAAGACAGGTAAGGACACGCAACTTACGTGCGCTCCGAAGACAAGTAAAAAATGTTGCACAGGTTGTTAATTGTGCCGGCAAGGGCCGTACATGGCAAGTGGCAGCTACGCAAGTATCCGGGGACGGGAGAGTGTTCACTTAACAAGAAAAAAAAAACAAGAGTCGACAGTTTCCGACGACTGCTTGGAGTATATTGCTTACACCCCACAAGCTGCTGTGTCAAGGGAGCTAGCTCCAGCTAGGTCTGAAAAAAGCAACATGCCTTCGCGTCGAGGTGACGTGATATCTCTGTCTCTGCTCATCAGAGCGAAAAACCTACAAATAGTCTTGTCGACCAGCCACAAGAACTTGCAGATTTCAGTCCCCGAGCCTTACAAGTTCCCCCCCCGCAACACAAACCCAAGGGATAAAACCAAAAGAAAAGAAGAAGCTGAGAACACCCCATATCCCCGAACCAAAGGAAAAAGAAGTCCCCAGTACCTTGATGCCAAAGCCCCCGAGGAGGTCGGGAAGGCTATCGACCACCCTCTGCGGCGGCCTGAGCGTGGCCAGGATGAACGGGTCGCCGCCCATGGAGCAGTTCTGCACCCTGCCCGGGGGCAGCCAGAGGGGGTCACCATCGACTGCCGCTGCGTCCCCACGCCCCCCCCCGGCCTCAACTTTCTTCTCCCCTCCAGCCGGTGCCGCGGCCACCGGAGTGAAAGACGCATCGTTGTTGCTCTTGTTGCCGTTGGCGGGCGCGGCTGGTCCTGGTGGTGCTACTGTGGTGGTGCTGGTAGCGGGGGGGGGGTTGAAGGTCGCGGTCGACGACGACGCTGAGGGTTCTTGGTTGGCCAGCCCCGTGATGCTGCCGGTGCTCCCGTTCGATCGTCTCCTGGGGAAAAAAAAAAAAAAAAAAAACGGGTATGGGGTCTCGTGTTGTATGTGCGTACGAGCCAGGAGGGGACCCGAGCGGAGCGATTATGAGGGAGACAACACACCCTCGCTCACGCCCCAAGAAAAAATCGAGGACCGGGGTGTGTGGGGGCGGGTGGTGATGACAACGGTGATGATGATGATGATGATGATGACCAGTCACGAGCAACATTCGAGCTTGGGGCGAGGTACAGTATTGGTTCGTAACCCCCCCGAACCTACACACCTACACACCTCTAATTAGCAGCCGCGTTTGTTTCCTTTGTGAAACTAGGAGGAGATGGAAGTGGCGTTCTCCCGGCGGAATCATCATTGATCGACTCTGCCGGCCTCGCTACCGCCCCGGCCTCCTCTGCGCAACGCCTGCGTCGCTGACTCTCAGCAACGGAGCAAGCCACGGCGACGGCCACGACGGTACTCGCTGGTTGCTGCTCCCTGGCCACCTGTCTACACCTCTGCATGTACTGCTGCTGTCCACAGCCGTGCCTAGAGTACCGAATTGCTGTTGCAACTGAGGCGGACAAGTACTCACATTCCGGAGACCGAAGATGACGAGGGCCCTCGGACAGACTTGAAGTTAACCTCAGCCTGAGACGCGCCCTGCGGCTTTTTCGTTATACACAGAGCGTCAAAATTGTCAAGGCGTGTCAAGGGGGGGGGGGGGGGGGGGGGGGGGG